GGGTTCCCACGAGATGTCTTGAGCCAAACACTGACCAAATACTAGTATCACCGCAAATATAGGCAAAACAGACAACATTTTATTGTCACAACTTTTAAACTTTTTATTAATTATAAAGTTTGTAAAATTTTTAATTCTTTTATATATAGTTTAGTTTATATTATGAATTACTTTTTCAATATAATAGTAAGATATGATAAAGCGTTCACTAATAGGATTTCAATTACTATTTAAGACATAACGTATCAAGAGATAAAAACTGCATAAAAAGGTTTTATTAATTTTTATAAAAAATAATTATCAGAATCACACAAGAATTGAAACATAAAATCTACATTATATGAGAATCAAAATTAGTATCAGTGGACAACAGCAAGTGGACCCTTTGGCCACATATTTTGAGCCGTCGGTTAACGGTATTTACAGTACGTGTGACAACATTTGGGTCAATATTTCTAAGGACAGACTGGACTTTTTGTTGAAGTTGAGGAATGGTATCAGCCTTCCATCCATTTTCATACACTATGAGTTAAAACCGCAAAAAATCTTCAATCGGTCGGCATTGAGGGACATTTGAAGGGTTGCGGTATTTCGACACAAATTTCATGTGATTTTCATTTAAGAAGTTGAGGACAGTTGTGGCGTAATGAGAGGAGGCCTTGTCGGGCCAAAAGAGGTAATTGTTGTCCGAATGGTAGGCATTAAGAAATGGTATCAATCGCTTCTCTATGCACTCCTCTTTGTAAATGCTTTGGTTGACAGCCATACCACTCTTCTGGAAGTACGGCTCAGATATTCCGCGCTTAGAGATAGCGATCCATAACATAAGTTTGGCTCATTTTTTGCTTTAGGTTTAGTCGAAACCTCTGATGTCTTCTCTTTAGTAGGCGACGAGAAATAGCTGTCATTCATTGAGTGACTTAACGTCAAGTACTTCTCGTCGTCGATCACAAAATCATTGCGCCGGCAGTACCGGTAAAGCCAAGCGCACTGCCGTTTTGCCATTATTTTTTGTGTTTCCGTATATTTTGGACACTTTTTCTTGTATTTTTTGATAGACTTCTTCTTTAACCAATATTTTATGGTCGGAGGTGTGACCGAAAATTTACGGCCAGCTCTGGCGTAGTTATAGCGGTCGGAATGGTTGACAAGTCTGTACAGACGCCGTATCTTCTCTCTGGTCATTGCCTTCAATGTTGTCCACTTCCCGGTTGTCTTTGTGTTGTTAAACGATTCTCATAATTATTGAGTATTCAATAGACAGTCCTTCGCGGCATTCCTTCGTCTGCAAAGTGGTCAACAGTTCGGACTTTGGGCTCATTATGATGTCTCAACCAAAATGTCACAACCCTTTCGCGACGCTTCTCTTGTTCTCAAGACATTATATCTTAACCACTCATTCAAATTATATGATTTTTTGCACAACACTCTCTCATAATAGGGCTATTCAATGCTTTTTCATTTTTGTATTATTTAATGTTTTATATACAGGTTTTTAGTTTTAAAAAAGATGCAGTTTTTATCTATTGATACGTTACTAGTATATGAAGTAACTTTAAGATATAAGTACAGGGACAAGTATCAAGTATTATGCACTGTACTTTGTTATTAAATTAATAATCTCATATTTGTTAATGTTTTTGAACAATTTCTTTGTAATACAGATAATTATAATTTATTTGAAAAACATTATCAAAACAATTAAATCTTAGATTCTATACATAATCCTTTTGAACCATTATAGCCTATAATTTATAGGGATTATATTAATTTCTAATTAATTTTAGAAAACAATAGAAAAGTTATTCAATCAATTTATACCAGGTATCAAATTATATAAATATTTTACTCATTCTTTTTAGACTAGATTTTTGGGCTCTTTTC